ACTTAGCTGGCTTTGCCTTCATAGAAAATGTGTTCTGATCAGCATTCTGGTTTCATTTGATCTGGTGTAAATGCTGTGTACCTCTACTGTGAGAATGATGCAATAGAGTGAGAAATGAAATGGATCAGAGACCCTAGATCCTCATCATCTACTGCTGAAGAAAGTAAAGGCAGCCTTAAGCCTTGCTTGTATTTCTGTAGCCCTAGAGTCATCGCTTCACATAGGACAGCCTAAAGTGTAAATGAAAGAAGTTTGGAGAATCCTCTAATCTGTTTTTCTACATTCTGGTAGTGCATGGGGAATAAAGATACCTTTAATATCAAGCAACATTCCCAAAATTAGTGGTCGTGAGGGAGATGACCTGTTCATAGAGTAAATTCTGTGTCAGAAAATTTTCCTTCTTGGCTGGGATCCTCAGAGGCTGCATTCACTGGGTTTATGGCACAGCATAAAAAACCTAAAATAAGTTACAGGAAGAAAAGTGTCTTTGCATGTTTTAAGTACGTTACTAGAAAACAGATCGTATCATTTTGTTCTGTTATTGGGTGAAATATTTCTCAAATACAAATTCAGCCAAGTGGGTGCAAACTCATTCAAACGTACAAATTGACTGAGACAGATGCAATGTGCAAGTGCATTGAATACAAGTTAGTCATAAAACAAGAGTAAGGCAGTATAAGTAGCAGAGTATAATAATACTGTAATTAGTATTGACTTAGTAATGAAGGTTGGTATGAAGTTGTATAAAGTGAATATAACTTGTGAACGAAAAGGAAGAAGTGAGATCCAGATGGAAAAAGAGAAAATTAAGTAAGACCTCCCTAGTCCCACTTTAATTTATGTTTTTTACCTAAAACCTACAGCCAAAGTTGGTTTAGCAGTTGATGGATATGTTTTTGTTGATTTATATTCTCAGTTAAAGTCAGAAGCTGAAATTGGTACCTTGAGATCCCCACTCCAGGGTGTGTTCCTGCGGCCCTAGTGGTACAGATGATGGTAATGGTCATGGTCTGGTTAATGTTCTCCCTGGAGATTATTCAATCTGTTGAATGTGTTTTTGTAGTGGGGGGGGGAAGGAAAACAAGGTGGAAATGTTCATTCTGAAATTAACTTTTCCAGCTATGGTGTTTCTTTTGAGAGAGATAAAATGTTGAACTGTTTAACATCTGGGAACCTGTGTCCTTGCAGTCCAAGCTGTGGATTAATTAAGTGCTAAACTGACATCACATTTTCATAGAGATTTAGAGAATGAACAGAAAGTGCTTAATGGTTTTGACCCAGTCTAATTTTAGAACTGTAGAATATGTAAGCAAATGCTATGTATATCCTGAAATATACATATGTGTATGTTAAAAAAGAGATATTTTTTTTTACATAAGGCTCTAATTATATAACAACTGGATGTTTTTAGTTCAAGACAATGTAGTTAAAGAAAAGAAAAAGTAGTTAATTTGACAATTCTATGAAACTTTCACAATTATTTATTTATGTAAAAAGGCTAGCATTTAACTTTTATAAATTAATTAGTTTTAAATATTCAATTAGATGAATTATTGCAGTCTAATCCCATGGTAATTCTGTCTCCCTTTATTCTAGCACGACAAGTATCTAAAATGGGACATAGCATTTTTATGAATATCTATAGCTCAATGTTCTTTGTTTTTCTACTCTGAGTTTTTATATTTATTTTTGATAGCAGAAAATGACAGATTTTTTTTCACCTGCTACTTATCTTTCATGTTATGATAGTTCTGGAGTTGTTTCCGTTTTTTTCTTTTTCTTGAGTAGTCAGGTGTTGCTTTCTAATAGGAAATTTTAGATCACTTCTAAAAAGTGTGTCAAGGACATTAACTTGCTGAAGATGTCTGTTTCTTGCAGCGCAGCAGAGATTTTGAAGTCTCTAGTCAGCCTAAAGTCTTTCATCCACTGATACTATTAGGAGTAAGTCACAATACTCTGTTGAGCTTTTTTTATGTTTGCTAAAGGATATATCAAATGTGAGAATAGATAAGCAAGCATATTACACCCCCTTATCTGTGTTTGGCAAAGGTAGTAATGAGTAGTAACATTGAACTCTGTTACTCTGTAATTTTTAAATTCAGAAACGTTGTGGGGTTTTGTGTGAATATTAAAACCTAGTAATTTATGTTGTCTATTATTTTTAAGGATGAGATGTGATGTCACTGAAATCAGTGCCTTTGTGACACGCCTTGTCACAACGCCTTGTTTTGTAATATTTAATTACCTTTTATGCAGGATAAATGAGTGCTAGCAACAACTAAGAGAACTATAGAGGAGTTGAATAAGATACAAGTTTTAGCTGCTAGGAAGTGGACATCAACACTGTAAATTTTTTAAATTGATGTGGAGGAATCACCAAATCTTATTTTTTGGATGATCATTCTCATAAATACCTATTTTCAGAAATGTAATCATGAATGCACAGTCATATCTCACCTCTAAAGATTCATCTGTGTGATAACAGGGTGAACTTATTAAGGGCCTATTAAGGGACATGTGTGCCTTGCATTTACATACCTTTCTCTCATACTGGAGTTCAAAAATTTGTGTTAGGTACCTGAACTCCTTTTGTAGCGCACCGGAAAAGTTCAGGGTATAAGAAAGGTGCCCAACACAATGAGTCAAGCCAGCTCTTGGTTTTTGATTTTTTTTTTAACAGAACTTTTTTCTGTTGCACAGTGTAAATATAAACAATTTGTTTATGTAACCTATATCTATTGAATAACTTCTGCAGCATGTTTCAACAGCAGTAGGATTTTCCTTGTTGAAAGAAAATAGACACTTTGAAGACTGCTGTCTATTTATTTTATTATTGCATTTCACATAATCCTTTACTTATTCTTTTTCTAGAGGAGGTGATCTGGAAAGAAAAGCTACCAATATTCTAATAGTGGCTAAACACCAGTAAAGCCATTGAACTCTTGGGATATGTTACTTTAAAAGTTGGGAGACGGGTATTAAAAATAGGCAGTGGATTGTAGCCACAGTACTTATGATATTGTTACAAGAGGGCACCGAAAAAGAAATGAGAAAGAAATTTACATTTACAGATGTAAATTCATGGGGAAAGAGAACCAGACTAAAAAAGAAAGAACTGTTTTGAGAAGGCACAGAATCACTAAGACACTACTTGCAGACACTGTGATGGGGAGGAGGGAAATGTATAGTGGAATAATTATAGCCAGGTTTTTCAACCTGTAAATATATTCAGCAATATTTAATTTTTTAGTCTGCCATAAGTTTTCCAGTTTAAGTAAATGCCTGTTTACATGGTACCAGTTTCAGTCACTAGAGCCCTTCTACCCAACCTTTCTTAAGATTTTTCAGTTAATTTTGGACAAAAGAACAGATGGGATTGTGTAAACTACTTTTCCACTAATTTTGTGACAGTGTCATTGTACAAGTACATATTTAGATACTACCTAAACACAAAGTCCATTATGCAACCCCCTTCCAAAATGTATTCCTGTTGAAACTGCCTGTTTCTCTTCTGGACACAAAGACTCTCTTGACCTCGCTGTTATGGAAGAGCTTATTGTTTCTCCTTTTAAATTAGAAATCCTTCCTAGAATGTGCACTTAGATGTAAATTGTTTGAATGTGGCAGTTCATTCAAATACAGGCCTATTAAAGGAGTTTTAAAATCTGATTTATTGGAACCCTGTGGCTTTTATGGCACATTACATCTAAATTAAGCTACAGGGAACCTTCTCTCCCCTTATTTCCAGCTGTTTTTTTCCAGGCCAGGTGACATGATATTGGCTTTATGATTATTTATATATCTCCCTCATTATTTTATTATGTATTTTAATGTGACAGATTTCTGTCCTCTAGCGCTGAGCAAGTTGTTAGAGTAATCCTGGATGGAGCAGGCAGGGATTTTTGATAATCAGAAAAATACAGCATGGTTTTTGGTTTCAGGTATTCAAGTTTTGTTACATGAAGTAAAGGATGCATTTTCATATCCTCTTTTTCCAATAAATACAGTAAGTACTATAAATAGAAGCAATTCCTTATGTAGAAAATTAGATTTTTTAAAGTTTTTTTTTCTTGTCATCTCAGCAAAATACCATCTTTTCAGCCAAGCTGAAGTGATGATGGATACCAATGAATAAACTCAAAACTTTTGTCTGGTATAGGTTTTTGTATATTTTAAGATGAAATCTTAATGTCCTCCCCTCCTCAGTAAGTCATGAGCACCTCTGAGACTCAGTTCACATCTTTAAAAATATTTTGTCAGCCATAATATATAGGGATTTCAGACTAGATCATAAGAGCAATAAGATCAGTGTGGAGGATTTTGGGCTGGGCTAAAAGTTTAGCCTGGGACGGGACAATGGTGGGTCCCAGGGATACTGTGATATCCTCTGTCAGGAGAGCAAGCTCAAGGTGCTGTTTGGTGTAGAATAAATAACAATAAAGGTTGTTCTCCTGTATTCTGGTTGTACCTCTGAGAAGAGGAAGCCCTCTATAGATATGGTCTGGGTTAAGCTGGATGGCAGCTTTTACTACCTGTCCAGAAAGGTGTTCAACATTGGTGGGCTTGGAAGAAGAAGCTGTTCAGGAAGCTGGAAGGTGTCTGTGGGGCCAGCGGGGACACTGACTCTTAGAGCTGTGGTTAGAAATCTCTAATAAATCTTAGCCAAAGATCTGCTGTGCTGTGCATTCATAATTAAATATAGTATATGGATTGCCAGCTTTTTTACAATTTCTAATTAGTGATTTGATGTATCCCAAATGAATTCAGAGCATTAATAGCTAGAAAAAAAAATCTTCTGTGTTATATATAAAATATTTTGATGTGAAATAACTGGGGTAAGTAAATGTGATGCTTCATAATAACAAGGGTGTTTTGAATGTTCTTTATAATTTTTACAATTTTAAAAAGATAATTTGCAAAATCATCCTCTATGTCCTTTTTTGTACATATGTACATGTTTGCAAGGCAACTCTTCATGTCATTCATCTCTTGTTTTGCAGACAAAACCTGTTGCGTTTGCAGTTCGGACAAATGTTGGATACAGTGCAGCTCACGATGACGATGTTCCAGTCCCAGGCATGGCCATCTCATTCGAAGCTAAAGATTTTCTTCATGTTAAAGAAGTAAGTAAATCTAGAGGAGTAAGTGAATCTCTCTATAAATGTCTATTTGAGTAATAGTGCTACTGTTTCTTTAACATTAAGATAATACTTCACATAGTCAAAGCACTATACAAATGTGATATAAATAAGGTATCTCTATGTAAGGAATTGAAAGTTCTTTGAAATACTGTTCTTATAAAAGCAATAGCACAAATTCCTTAAAATCAAATTAATAAAGTTTGAAAAGCAAGTGTTTTTCTTCTCTAGTAATTATCACTAACTTGAAGCTTTAAAAATCTCCATCGACATATCCAATGATATAATATTCTGTGGGTTTTACAACTCTAGCACTCTGAGGTTTCATTGTGATTCGGCAGCCAAGGGTTGATTCTGTTTTATTTGTATGACTTATTCTTAAAAAACTCCCCAGATCCTCAGTTCTTCTGTTGCTCAGGAGAATACTTTGGGAGAATACTCCCAGCTCAGACAATACTTTGTCATTAACAGTTACATACTAAAACTGATGTGTTAACTCTCAAGGTGCACATATCAACTGTCAAAAAAGGTGCTTTTCATTTGTTGTCTTGGTTTTTTTTTCTGTAGTTTGGCTTTGAAAGTTTTCAAGTTTTACAGTCTTTCTCTGCTCCTTGCAAGACAATCTAAAGCAAATAACTTGGTAACTTTCCCATATAAGCCTTCCTAAGCAGCCTGCTGCCTTCTGAATGCTTCCCTGATGTTATGAGATTTCCCAGATTCTGGTCATATTCCATTGTTGTCTGTAAAAAAAACAACAGTCCAACTGGAAATGGAAATTTGTAGCAGAAGAACTAGAAAGCCAGATTAAGGATGGCAGCAGCTTAGCCGTACATGTGAAATTATATCTTTGCCCCATTTTAGATTGGCAAAAAAATCCCTCAGTAGTTATGATTGATCATGCACAATGATTCTGCTAGTGCAGATGCTTTGTAGAAGCAAGAAACATTCGTAATACATAGATAAAAATACAGGTGGACAGAGACTAAGGAAACACAAGAAATGGACTTCTAGTATCTTCATACTGGTGACTAATTATCATCATTTTCCATCTATATTAAACACACAAAAAAGGGATAATTTTAATTCAAACTGTATATAGTGAAGAAAATATGTTTTCTGTCTGATGATAATGCAGAAGAATTGCTCTGCTCTGTCTGTAACAAAAGTAGAGATGAGCAGGCACAAAGTCCTGGCAAAACAAAACCATCAGCGTTTTCAGGTGAGTCTGGAAGCACTGGAAAATACAGATCAGTTTGGTTAGATTAAATGATTTTGTATAGTCATTTATTCCACCTGCATTTTGAACAAACTAGTAATCTCAGATTTCACATCACTTCTTTCCCCTTTTTCCATATGAAACAGAAACAGTACTAGTTACAACAATGCTTTTTTCCTTACACTACAACTTAAGACTCAGATGTAAATATGCTTGGAAGAAAGAAAAAGTTTCCTGAACTTTTCCAGATCTTCAGAAATGCCTTGAAAAGAAAGCTTAGCTTAGCCGAATTGTTGTATTGACTGCATGTATTTATTATTTATGCAGATGAAAAGTAAAAAAAAAAAACCAAACTTGTTTGACTGTAAAAGGTAGTGTTACTTTAATATGTAATACCTTACTGGATGCTAGAAATAAAGAAATCCAGGTTAATCTCTGATAACTTTTCCCTGCATAGTAATGCTGTATTGGATCAATGCTGTCCTCTTCTTTGCAAGGAGTGTTTTTCAATTTGTACTTCTGAGAGGGCTCAAACAAGGAAAACCTCAGTTTTCATGCTGCTCATGTACATGAGCAGGGGTGAAAAGTGTTGCAGTGATTGAGTATAAAGGAAATTTATTTTCATTATTAAGTTACATTCATTAAAACTCAGTACATATAAAGATGAAGGATTCCTTCCTGCATGAAGAAACGTGTACTGCATCATAGTCACTCCCAAATCTTTTGGCTTTAATGCATGGCCGTAATTCTGCTTTCCATTTAATTCATATTTGTGTTTACCATGGCACTCCAAGCACAGGTGAATTACAGAGAATCATTCACACAGCCAGCACCTTGAGAGATGGACACCTTGCTACCAAGATTTCCACTATTGCTTTTCAAGATTAGAAAGTATTCTGTGTGCTCTTATGTTCTTATGAAAATATCTTATCCTTCTTTTCATATAGTGACACAGCGTTTAGCTTTGAGACTTTGCAGGAATGAATTCCACATGCTTTTCTTTTTGTATGAAGAAAAAGTTTCTATAGATCTAGCATTTCTATCAATTATAATAAAATTAACATTGTTATGTAGTAGTCTGTTGTACAGTAGGACAGCATAAAACAGTAGTGGCTGTTCAGATTTTAATTTCATGGTGTTTTTAAGTATCCATCTCTTCATTTTATCAGGTTAATCATACTACTTCTGCAGACTGCATGTATACCATAGAGCAGTTCCATATAACTTCCATTGTCTCAATTACTATAGTCTTTGTCCACCTATAATATCCTGCAACAGATTTTAAATGCACATACATAGCATACATAGTTAGCATTTTGGAATGAAAGGTCATGATTTTAATAATATATTTCAGTCTAATACAGTTTTGAGAAATTGCTATTCCAGATTAGCTCCCTATTAAATAGTCACAAAGGCATCCCATTGGATGAATGTTATAGATCTCCTTATATTCTATGAGCTTAAAAGTGCATTTATTTTAATCTTTATTTTTTGTTAGCAAAGTATCTTACAGTTGGTTTCAAGCATCACAAAATTTATATAGTAGCCAAAATGAAAGATAATACTGCAATTCAGGTTGTGTATCATTGATCCACCAACGTTGTATTGTCAGTGAAATTAAGTCCTTTTTATGGGAGCCCACACATTTTACATGTTTTACTCCTAACTATACTCTTGTTAAAACTGCTTATTAAATAATTAAACATGCACTATGATATCTACATTAATAGCTTCAGATTCAAGAATGCAACTTCTCTACTCATTCAAATGTTCTCTTATAAATAATCCAAATAATCCAAAATTCATATTTGATGGTAGTTATTCCTGTGTAACTCCTAGACTATTGCTTGTGGGGCCAGACATAAGAGTGACCTATTCTCATCCAAAACCAGTGAATAAATAATAAAGGAAAAAGGAAATAGTTCTGCTATACAGACCTCTGCAAAACAACCAAAACCCCTGTGTGTGTATATGAATAAATAGTATTAAATTTGTATTTGATATTGCTGAAATTCAGTTATTTTGTGCATTTGTAGTTTTGAGGTTTTGTTAGTTATTCAAAGATATCCATTCCTTGTGGATCTATCACTGTGTGTTTAAGATGCAGATCACATGAGCTGTATGCAGTAGAGCATATATAAGCAGTGAAATGTAGTCATATTTCAGAAGATTTTAGTGAGTTCAGAGAAGCAGGGGAGTTTCAGAAGTAGTATTTTTTATTTTATATAGAGAACTGAATAGAATGGAATAAGAAAAATAGGTTATTACAGAGCTGTAAAAATTGTTGCAGTGGGTAGGAGCAGATCAGAAGAAATCTCTGGTGTCCACCAAGAAGAAACATCAAGGGAGAACAAAAGCAGCTCTCATGTATGAGGAGAAAAGACTGTGAAACAGACAAAAATATGGTGAAATGGGTGAAAATAACAGCCAGGGAGAATCATGAAGCCTACGAAGGAAGGTTTCTGCTTAAGTACAGTAGCATTTTAATAATTTGCAAGGTATAATTATTTTAATGTATTTCTGAATATTACCACAATTCTTCATTGCCATAATATAGTACAGTGATTAACTGCAGGGAAGAATTACATAAAATGGCTTAGCTGGAAATTAAAAATAATAACAAAATGATCCCAAATACAGTAATTTCTTAGTACATGACTTTTTTTTTTTAATCTGTAGAAATTTAATAATGACTGGTGGATAGGACGGTTGGTAAAAGAAGGCTGTGAAATAGGATTCATACCAAGCCCAGTCAAACTAGAAAACATGAGGCTGCAGCATGAACAAAAGGCAAAACAAGGAAAATTCTACTCCAGGTAATAAAAACAAATCATTAAAAATAGTAGTACTGACTGTGGCACAAATTGGAAGTTAGTGCTTTGCATGCTATCATTCTGTTTAATTATTGTAATTGGAAGCTACCAACATTTTGAATTGATGAAGTAAGTAATATTTGTTTGTGTGTTTAATGCCATTGCCATTTGAGAGAGAAAATAGATATTTAGGTTTGTGGTCTCTGGTGGCCTACAATGGCTATTATTCCATTTTATTTTCATAAAACATTTGCAAATATACGTTGCAGTTAGTACCTTTACTACATGCGAGCACAATTTTTGACCTAAAAGTCAGTGTCCGTAAGTTCTTTAGCATTTGTTACTTGTTTTCATGCTCTTGCTATTTCTAAACACTTTTGAAGCTAATTTTAGAAATTACAGAAATGTTAAGATGAACTTACTTGTAAGCTGAAGCTAGTGCCTGTTAGGTAGCTCTTAGAGAAAAAATGGTTTGGTCTGTCAAATTCATTGCCTACAAATACAGCTTTTAAGAATACTGCATTGTAAAAGGACGTTTCATGTCAAGTCATTTGTTGTCTCTGACTGCAGCTATCATTACATAAAGATTCGGTATCTAAATATATTGAGGAATATTTCAATATGGTAATAATGTCATCTTTACTATAGAATTATTGATAGTTTTCCAGTAAACATGAACACATGTGGAAACAAATGCTATTTGCTTCCCTTTGGGTATATAGGGAACAAATATTTTGAGGATGTCTGAGAACGATGGAGTGGAAGCTGAGAAAAGGTCTGAGCAACATTTGGAAAGTCAGAAAGGCTTTCCTACTTCAGTAGGGAGGGCAGCAGGGTTTGAAAAGCCACATCTGTGCTAGGAGAAGGCCAGGGTTCTGCAGTGCTCAGCCATGTTTGCTGGCTGTGAAATGCCTTCTTTGTGAGCACTCTGTCCTCAGCAGGAGGATGTCAAGTTCCTTCTTCCTTTTGTGACACTTCTGATACAACCAAATCTAACCCAGTGATTTGATCCCTTCCCAAATTGTAAAATCTTCCATTCTCAAGAACTTCTCACTGGAGATAACACTGTCCTATGCCACAAATGCATTTACATAGTACTTATTAATATTTTAAGATGGCAAAAGTGGAAACAAGTACTCTAACATGAATTATTTGAAAAGTGAAATAGCCTTTCTTACATTCTTTTCAGTGCTTTTCTCATTATGGTGACTGAAATGAAAAGACTAAAAATATTGTTTCATTTTCACAACTTGGATAGGTTTTCACGAAGCAGAATTTGACAAAACCATAGACTGCTTTATCGTAATTGAAGAGACTTTTTTTTCTAAGAGCTACATTGTGTTGAGACAGCAAAAGAATTTATACTCTAATTAAACTGAAAATATGTTAGGCAAACACACTATCAGTTTCATTAAGGAGCTGTCAGTAACTCTTCTGTTAAAAGAAACAGATTATGCTCACTGGCTCAAGAATTAGTCTTAGTAATTAATAGTAATATTAATAATTATATATCAATAGTTATTTTAATAATTGGAACACATTAAGATCATGAGGTAGTGAGAGCATATGCAGCAGAATGAAGCTGCACAAGGACAAGGAACGTGACTGATGCTTGCAGTTCCTCATTCTTCAAAATGTGTGTATATTTTGTGTAAGATATATATTTTATATCACTGCCAGAATACTGTTTGTCACTTGGCTAGCAGCTCATTTAGAAGACGGGTAATGCATAAACTAGAATAAATACTTTGAAAGCTATAATACTTCAAACTAATTTGTTGCTTTACTCCAGTAAATCAGGAGGAAACTCTTCATCCAGTTTGGGTGACATCGTTCCTAGTTCCAGAAAATCAACACCTCCATCATCTGGTGAGTAGGTCATGAACCCTTTGGTTTACAGACTCATGCATCTAAACTGTTAAAATTTTTATACATTTAGTCCTTTTTTTCTTACTCCCTGTATTTCACAGGGATAAGGCTGGGTGGTCACATTGCCCTATAAGGCTGGTTTGGGTAGGTTTGAAGTAGTGGAGTAAATGCCAGCTAGTTCATGTAATGATAGGGTTGTTAACAATCCATAAGATTTCCCCTTTGATTTTACCTTGGCTTTTTATTGCAAAGACAATAGAATGATGAAAATGTGTTGCAGGAGGATAGGTAGAGGCTTGATCTGGGCTGAGCA